GTGTTCGTCATTTTGGTTAATTACTGGAAGATGGCGGTTCCGGCCAAAAGGAAAAAGGCTAGGTCTTATGACTTTTTAAAAAAACGAAATAACTAAAGGAGGGACTTTTACATTCATACATTGCAGATCCCTCCAGAAAGCTTTAAAACCCATCTTTCAAAACTTGAACCTATACTTTAAGGAGCTTTTCCTAGCAAAGGCAGACATGTGCTGCACACGGTATACCACAAACAATTTTTTTCTAATAACTCTTTCATTATAATATTATAATTCTTTCTTTTGAGGCTTTAACACTATTTTTTAACTGCTAAAGTATTGATGCTTTCATTCTCATTTGAGAAAAGAACAATAATTAATTTTATGTTTTTTTTCAGGTAACTAAGCAAGACAAGAACCTCATAAAGCCTCTTTATGACCGATACAGAATTATCAAGCAAATTTTGTCAACACCTTCCCTTATTCCAACAATTGTAAGTCAAGATGTTTGATTTACCAAAAAACTGTACTGGTGCTTCATACTGCTATTTAACTAGCACTATAAGAATGATAAAGAAGCCTTCTTGGCAGGATGTATTTCTTGTAAAGCCAGTTATTGTTTCAAAATATAAAAACCCGGTCTTCCCTAACCCTAGTAGAATACTGAACAGTGGCTAATAACTACTTGCTTTCGCTGCCTTGAGAGAAGAAAAAAATAGATGTGTCATTTTCTAACTTATGACTAGACAAAATAGAGACTTTCTATTCTGTGCATGTTGGTTAATTTTTCTCCTTTAATAAGAAAATTGCCAATGTGTTCCTTGATATAATGTGACATTTGATTTTGGTACCATTTCACAATGCTGAATATAAGTAGAGTTATTTCAATAGAAAATAGAAATACTGAAACTGAGTTAGACTACTTTTAATAAAGAATGATTTATGGGAATACAGAAGTAGAAAAGCACCATGAATCCTACTCTGCCAATATTGCTCAAGACATCAATATAAAAAGGAGTAAATATTAACAAATGTAAATTTAAGTATACTTGAGTACATTTATACTTCCTTATTGTTTAAGATATGAAGAGAATAATGATTCATAATCTGAAATTTTTCCATCAGGAAAACATACTTTAAAATAGAGTGATTTTCAGATATCCTTGCAAAACAATTTTCAGATATCCTTACAAAACAATGATTATAATAATTATCAGAAGAGGTTAAAGAGTAACTGTGCTTTGCTTTGGCCTCAAATTCCCTGAATTAATCAGTTTTCTAAGTATCTGCTATATCTGAATGGGCCCACATGAAGACCTGACTTGGTTGTATTTCTGGATGACTGTTGTCTGTAGCCCATTTCATCCTAACCCCTATCATTGGTATGAAGCTGGGGCCCAGAATGTCTGGGTGAGAGAAAGGATTCATTTGGCAGTACAAGTTCATTCTGGGCCATATCCTGATTATCTGTGTTGTGGCTCAGCAAACACTGATGAATTTAATGAGCATTTTAGCCCAGGCTGGATAGGCTCTTCACTTATTAATTTCTGCAGGTTTTTTGATGCTACTGAGGAAGAGGGCTTCCTGGTTGCTATCGTCCCAGAAATTGGTAGACAAATGGGTTACCTACTGGTTTTCATGATGTTTCCTTAAGTTTTTGTTTTGCTTCCACAAGAGACACTTAACATTTTGTGACTTTATTAAACTGTGTCTCTGTTAAGCAGGAGGAAGAGGACTCTGATGAAGACTATCCACAGGGAAGCCAACAACCTTCTTTGCCAGATTCAGCAACTCATCTTCCCATTGGTGACCACCTCACCTACTCCAATGACATTGAGCCCGTTATGACCCTGCTACCAGATGAAAAGAAAGAAGTAAAACAACCAGCTCTCTCCATGTCCAATTTACATGAGGCCACCATGTGAGTGTGAATCCCAAGTGTGGAGTCTCCTTTTACATTCTTGTCTGGGGTACCACATATGTAAATGCAAAGTTCAGAAGAGCTATTAGAATATCTAAAAAGTGCTGTCCACTAGAGAGTAGCCCTAAAAGCACAAAATGGCTATCTTAGCTAATTTAAAACAGGAAGCCATGAGGTTCTACAGATCCCAATAAAGTCTTTTAAGATGCCCTGCTACTAATCTTCAATTTGCTATAATCGCAGTTTTTTTCAGTAGGATTCTGGCTCCAGTCTAACTTTTGGCAGTGTGTGAAGCAGAGGTGGCCTTTAAACATGCTGAACCTGAAGGAGTTGGGATCCTGAGTCTGTGTGTGTCAGTAGTTGGCAGGGTATTTATTCCTGTCTGCTCCATTTATGTGAGAGAGTATCTCCAGACTGGAACTCTCCTTAAGCAAATAAGGTGCCCTTTGTCTCCTAAGGGCCTCTCAGTCAGGAGTTATTAAGATTTTCACTAACATTATCATTATTAATACCATTATTCAATACCTGGCATTCCTCCTGGTTATTGACTTTGTTTGGTTTGTATATTATGGCCCAGATTATGAGATTTTCTTGAACATGTATCACGTAGTACGAGGAGATTATTCCCCATGAGATGAGACGTAGGACTAAATTAGAAGTTGGGATTTTAATGTGTTTGTAGAATCAGCTGATACCTTACTTTCCTCTTACACAAGCATGATCTGTTTGGAAGCAGCATAAAAACCATTTGTTCTTAACTTTCTTTTTTTTCCCCCCATCAGGAGGATTGGCGGGGGGGGGGGGGGGGTGTGTTTTTTTTTAGAG